TGGTCTTCACTGTCTCATGGAGTGCTCCTTGTGAGCACTGTCCTGTGCCCCTGTGACTTCATGTGGTGTTTTTGTTGTTGTTGTTGTTGTTGTTTTGTTTTTTAAATAAGGACACCAGTGATATTGAACTAGGGACCTGCCCACCTCCAGGATGACCTCATCTGACCTTAAATAATTCCATATCCAGTAGCCCCATTTCCAAATAAAGTCACATTCTGAAGTACCAAGGGTTAGGACTTCAATATTTTGGGGGGTGAGGGGTACACAGTTCAACTCATAACAGGATCTTTGCATTTTTTCCCTGCAATTATAGTATCAAAGTCATTACTTCTCCAAGTAGATTATACATTTTCCAAGAAAAAAATTTAATTTTACATCTGAAGTGGCAAATTGGCTCCTCTTGGGCTGGGTTTGGTCTGCAGGCACATTTGTCTGCCCTGAAGTACTGGCCCTGACACACAGTGCTTTGAAAGATTTATTGAATTAAAAGTTTGGAAACTTCCTCTGCAATTTGGGATTTCTGGGTTTCCATGAAAATACAGAATGCCTGGTCACATGGGGCTGTCTTGCCCCCATTCCTCCTTGCCTGGGGCCCTACGGGGGCTTCTCCTTAGACTAGGCAGTGCCTTCTGTGCACCACAGTTACACCTCTCCCTGCTGTCGCTTCAATCCTGAAGCTGGGACCAGCTGCCACTTGTCACCCAGCCAGCTTCACTCACCTCCCTCAGCTGCCTGGCTCTTGCAGACCTATGAGTTTGCAATCCCCAAGCACCAAGAAAATATCAAGTGAGCAACAAATGTTTGGTGATGATGGTGATGATGGCGATGGTGGTGAACTGAAATGTAGCTTGCGTTTCCACTTTTTCTTTTATTATCTACTTTTGAACCTTCCCCAATGAAGGATTTATCCCACTGTTCCACCCTGATGTCCAGGAGTAAGTTCTCTGTCCACATCTTACTCATCAGCAGCATTCACACAGTCTATCACCTCCTACTCTTGCGAAGCTTTCTTTCCATGAACTGTGCACCAGCACACTCTCCTGATTCTCTCGATGCCCACGCTTTCTCAGCCTCTTTTGCTGGTTTTCCCTCCTCTCTTATTCCTATGAAAAGTGGTGTGTTCACAGGGTTCAGTCTTGACATATCCTTTATGTTCTACCCTCCTCTCACTCCCTAGGAGATCTCATCCAATCTTGTGACTTTAAATAAATAACTTGTATACACTGACAACTCCCGTGTTCACAGGGTTCAGTCTTGACATATCCTTTATGTTCTACCCTCCTCTCACTCTCTAGGAGATCTCATCCAATCTTGTGACTTTAAATAAATAACTTGTATACACTGACAACTCCCAAATATTTACCTTCAGCTTGTAAGTTTCCCCTGAACTGCAGGCTCCTTCATTTGTCTCTGCTTGGATGTATTAAAGGACTCTTAAGCTTCACATGTATAAAACCAAGCTCCTGGTTTTAATCCACAAATATTCTCCTCTCCCAGCATTCAATATCTCAATAAATATTAAATTCATTATTCCAATTGTTCAGGTAAAATAACTTAGAACTACCCTTGATTGAATTTTTTCCCCTCACATATTGAATGCATTCAATACAGCCTTGTGGCTCTTTGTGATGGTTAATTTTATGTGTCAACTTGGCTAGGCCATGGGGCCCAGCTGTTTGGTCAAACACCAGAATAAATGTTGCTGTGAAGGTATTTTTTTAGATGTGATTAACATTTAAACCAGTAGACTTTGAATCAAGTAGATTACCCTCCATAATGTGGGTGGACCTCATTCAATCAGCTGGAGGCCTTAAAAAGCAAAGGCTAAAGTTTTCTAAAGAAGAAGGAATCCTTCTCAAGACCGCATGTGGAAACTCTGAGTTTCTAACCTGCTCCCCTGTGGAATTCGGACTCAAAACTGCAATATCACCTCTTTACCTGAGTCTCTAGCTTGCTGCCCTGCCCTGTGGATTTTGGGTTTGGCAATCCTCACAGTTACATGAGCCAATTTCTTAAAATCTCTCCTCTCATCTCCCATGGTTCTGTTTCTCTGGAGAATCTCGATTAATATACTAGTCTTTCAAAATATTTCTAATACCTAAGTCTTTTTCATTACCTCCTGATATCACACTGGCTCAAGCCATAATTGTTTCTCTGCTGGATGTTATAATTGCTGCATACCTGGAATCCCATCTTCTGCCTGTTTTTCATGGAGCAGCCATGTAACTCTTTAAACCATAAGTCAACCATGTTACTCCTCTCTTTAGTGTCCTCCATTGGCTCCGTCTCATTTAGAGTGAAAGCTGAAGTCCGTAGATGGCCTTTAAGGCCCTATGCTATTTGGCCTCCTGCTGCTTTCTTTGATCTCATCTTTATACCTTCCCCAGCCTCACTAGACTCCAGCTACACATGCTCTTCCTCTAACACTCCAAGCAGGTTCCAGCCTCGGGGTTTTTGCCCCTGCTGCTGTCTCTGCCTAGAAATCTACTTGTTCTGATAAATTCATCTGAGCTACCCATGAGCAGAGCAGCACTATTTTCTTGTATCTCAAAAGAAGAAATGACTTTATCTAGAATGGACTATTCATTTCAGATTTGCCAAAGTGTGTCTCAGCCAACTGCCTCAGGGTGTCATCTATGGCAGATGGCCCGGGATCCTTCCGAAAGTTGGTCTTGATCATATATAGTTTCTGATTGTTACCATACCTTTTTAAGAATGCTGTGCAGACAAGAGAAGGAGAAGAGATAAGCCCGAGCTCCTGTCAGCACGTGCAGGTTAGACCATAGGTTCCTCTTCACTGTCGGATTCCCGCCTGCTTCCCAGAGTTCTGGGAGGCTGCTTTCTAAAGCAACACTTGGCCTTTCATCTGGGGCCCAAGAAAACATGCAATTCATACTCAAAACACTGCTCTGGTGAGGGGAGGGGCATGGGACACATTATGGGAAGCAGATACTTTAAATAGATGTGCATAGAGAAAACGTCCTCCGTGGAGGCAGTGTGATCAGAGAGACCCTGTCCCCCCTGCACCCCTTGCTCCCACCCCAGCCCTCCTCTCCTGAGCCTTCCACAGTGGTCAGTTGGCCCCAGAGGTTTCACTATCAGATCACCTAGTCCTTCCTCATTGCATGTCCTAGTAACATGGAAGGTGTCCAAATATCAGAAAGGCAATGCTCTGGGCTGCAGAATCAACTAGACCTGGCTCAAGCCCTGAATCTGACATTCTTAAATGGGGGCCCATGGACAAGTTATACACCCCTCTTCATCCATTTCCTCACTTACAAAATAAAATGATAATGCCTCCATTATGGGGCTGTTATGGGATTTAAATAAAGTAACATAAGTGCCTGGCCTGTAGCAAACATACAGTAACTGAGACTCAAGATGAGTCAGCATTGAAACTGAAGCTGGACTTCAGAGTGCTCGAGATCTGTCACCTGGGGTCAATGAATGGGTGTGTACAGTGGACACTCCTGACCACTCTGGTGCGACTGATGCCTAGGCCATCCTTCACATTCTCACCCCAGTGCTCCTCCCAGAATATAATCTTGATCAGGCCACCGCCCTCCTTGAAAAATGTTTGAGAGACTGTTCTCATGTTCAGCTTCTCAGTAGTCTCCAACACAGGCCCGTCAGGACCCTGCCTCCTCTTGGCCTGCACCTCCTTGTCTCTGGACCACTCCCCATGGACCTTTGCTCTGGGCATGCAGGAGACACTGAGTGATCAGTGATTCTTGAGCTTGGGTATTAGGTCAGCCATGCCTCTGTCCAGCCTCATTCACATTCAGCCATATTTCTCTATCTCCTTTGCAAGATCTCACGGGAGGTTTTCTGAAGTCCAGCCACACAGTGTCAACTACATTCCCTTGCTGCACTGCCTATCTGAAACAGAAAAGAGGTTAGTCTGGCAGGACCAGTTTTTCATACACACTTGTAGCTCTAATGTATTTTTTTAAAAGTTTTATTTTATTTTAATTGACACATAATAATTGTAACATATTTATGGGGTACAGTGTGTGATGTTTTGATGCATTTATACTTTGTGCAATGATCAAATCTGGAAAATTAGCATACCCATTACCTCAAACGTGTATCACTTCTTTGTAGTGAGAACATTCAAAATCCTCTCTTCTAAATATTTTGAAACATACAATGCATAATTGTTATCTACTGTCACCCTATTGTGCAATTGAACACCAGAACTTATTCCTCGTATCTAACTGCTGACCAACCTCTCCCCACCCCTTAACGTACGTGGTCCTCTATCCCCTCACCTGTAGAATGTTGGTGACATCAGGAGATCTCCTGGATTCCTTCCCACCAAGACTTTGGGAGCCAGGGCTGGAGCTTTTTAAAAGTTCAGTTCACTATGTCAGCTGCACTCCTTTGCTCTGCTGCCTATTGAAAAAGCAAACAAGATCAGATTTTGTACATACTTGTAGCCTTAATGTATGTGTTCCTCCATCTCTCACCTGTAGAATGCTGGTGACATCAGGAGATCTCCTGGATTCCTTCCCACCAAGACTTTGGGAGCCAGGGCTGGAGTTTGCACATTCCCTAGTGAGTAGCTGGCCCATGGGCGCTGCTGGGGCTGAGGTTAGATGCTGCATCCACAGCTCCAGCTGTGTCAGACAGCCAGGGGAAGGGATTGCAGAGAGAAGCTGGCTGGGGTCACTTTCCAAGGGTGGTAGGCGAGTCAGTGTGGGCCAAGCCAGGCAGGGAGGGAGCAAGAACAGCAGTCTTGATTCCTGGGAGGCTCTCTGCCCTGGCCGCCCCTACAAGAACCAAACTGTGTATCTCAATCCTAGAATGCGAGGAATGTGCCACAGCCTGACAGGCATGAATCAATGTGCAGAGAGGCAGAGGCCTGACAGTGCAAGGACTCTCTGGCCTGAAGGCTGGGCTGCCCCTCCCACCCTGCCTGGGCCTCCTCCTGCCGCACAGGGATATCAAAGGCTGCATTGTGCATTGAGCTGGGTCTTGGTCCCTCGTGTGCCAGGGAGGAGGCGGGAGGAGGGACACTGTTGGGAAGCTGTCCCCTCCCAGCACTCTTCTGACCGGTGTTCCCAGGGGCCTTGGCCTGGGGAGGATGGTGCACATATGGGTGGCTGCTTCTGCATCCCCGGGGAGCAAAGTCTGTCCTGCGCCCCAGGTGAGTTTCCCAGGGGGCTTGGCCTGTGGCTTGGGTGAGGTGGTTGGTCCAGCAAAAGCTCAGGGACCTGCTGGGTTGGGGAAGCTGCTCTTCCAAAGATGGGGAGATGGTTGTGCTTTCCAGCTGCCTCTCCTCCCTCCCTAGTTCAGTATTTGTCATTCTGGCTTTATAAAAAGGGAATGAAGCCTGGGAAGCATCTACTTTTCCTTAAAGAAAGAGACTTGGAGCTTGCTCTGCCGAGGAGTGAGTGCTGTTCTTGGCCACCGCTCCCAGGGTGTGACTAAGCCCTTCCTTCCTTTCTTCCCAAGAGTCCCTGGAACAGGAAGGCAGTTCAGGCAGTGAGTTCCTTTGTGGCCTATGGGTAGTCATCAGCTTGGCCTTGGTCACTCAGTCCTATTTTCATCAGAGTTGCTATTATTGGAGAAAAACAGGCAGTTTCCTGCCTCCTACCTTTTGCAGTACAATTTTTTTTGGTATGTCAGGTTGAAGCCATGAGAGCTATGGCTCTAAAAAGCTGTCAAGTCATCTGAGACTTGACATAGGGTGACCAACTGTCCTGGGTTGCCTGGGACTGAGGGCTTTCCTGGGATGCAGTCAGTGCTAAAACCTGGACAGTCCCAGGCAACCCAGGATGGTTGGTCATCCTAATGCAAGCTCCTTGCCTCTTTTCAGAAAAGAACCAAGGTGAAACACTGTGGTTTCTTGTATGGCATTTTTCAGGATGAGTGGTGGCTTTGGGGGAAGGTGGGGGTGGATTGGGAGGTTGGGGACTCACTTATGAGATACAGGAGCATTATTTCAAGGAATTATTCCTAACTCTTGTTAGGATTCTGTGTCATCCTGGAGCACCACCACCTGAGCAAGGAGCCAAGGAGCACCCCCTGACTAAGAGCTTTCTGCTCTCTGACAGATGACTTTCTATTATAGAGTTTTGACCTGGGCTTGTAGAAGGTACTTGAGGTCATTAAAGTGAATCTGAAGCAGCCATATTTTGCTTCCTCTTCTCAAAGTCCCAGCCTAGGCACACTGGCACCTCCAGCAGGGAGTGTCTCCCAGACAAGGCTTACCTTTGGACCTAAAACTATAAGCAAACAAACGCCAAACAATGCTCTTGGCACAAAAGGCATAACCTTAGCTATGAAACATTCTGCTTCTCCAGNTCTGAAGCAGCCATATTTTGCTTCCTCTTCTCAAAGTCCCAGCCTAGGCACACTGGCACCTCCAGCAGGGAGTGTCTCCCAGACAAGGTTTACCTTTGGACCTAAAACTATAAGCAAACAAACCCCAAACAATGCTCTTGGCACAAAAGGCATAACCTTAGCTATGAAACATTCTGCTTCTCCAGATTTCTGAGATTTGTAAATTTTCAGACCCTCCCCCTAAATCCTGTTGTCATTTTACTCCATGAGAGCAGACATAGCATAGGGTGGGGGACAGATGGGATCTCTGACATGGAAGTCAGGACCTGGATTCTAGATCTGACTCAGTCTACCTCGGGTTAGGCAGTGTCATTGTAGTTAACTACCCAGTCTTTGAGACCAAAGTGTCTATGTTTGATATTGGTTCTTTTACTTGCCTTGAGCAATTTACATAACCTCTCAGTGTTTTAGTATCCTCATCTGTAGATTTCATGAAATAAGTATGCCTTCCTCATAAGGGATTAAGTCTATATGTAGAACACTTAAAACAGCCTGGTACACAGTCATTTAAGCGCGAGGAATGTTAGCCATTGTTAATTATGTTTCTATGACCCTAGCATATCATGTTCTCTCTGGGCCTCCATTTAGTCATCTATAAAATTCAGGGGGT